TGATCCACCCCAGCCTGTCTGCCCACGGGCTCACGGGGCAGGAGGGTTTAATCCCCCTGGTTTTGTTATCTCTGCACGTCCAGTCAACGGGAGAAGGGATCTGCAGAGGGTGGTGGTCCTTGTGCTGCCTCTGGTGCCCCACAAGCTCCGGAAGACCAGAGAGCTGCAGCGGGGCTGGGTGACACCAGCCAGAGCATCACCCCATGGCACCAAGGTGCCAAAGCTTGCCTGAGAGGTTAGAAATATTCCTTCCCAACACTAACTGGGAGATTTACAGCAAGCTTGACATCTAAAGTCTTGACTGTGTTCATTTTGTAATAAATACAAGACATGACATTAGCCTGAGATTTAACCTGGAGAATTATCTTGTTTTATTGCTAAAAGACACTGACATTAACTAAAATAGTAACACAGATGCGATCAACCACCTCTATCAGTACCGATGCAATGACAAATGATCTGAGTGCATCTTGTGCTGCTTTCTCAGCAACCCCGAGGCTCCCGTCAGCTGCGATGCAAAGCGGTGGCCTTTTACAGGCACCACAGCAAGTGGTAGTTACTGTAGCTTTTCTCAAGCCATAAAATACCGTGTGCAGGCTTTTGCGGTTCTTTCAAAGAAAAAAGTCTGTAGCAAAAGATTTCCCTTTTCATCTCATGTTGACTTCAGTGAGGCTGGACCTCATTGCCCTGAAGAAGGGACTATTTCCTTCCTATTAATTCAGTGAATAATTTGGTCTGCAACATTTAGGGGGAAGTCTGGCCAGTAAGGTTCACAAAGATTCATTATGAAATCTCTTGAGTTCATTGTAACTAAAACTAGGGAGAAAACCCTTGCGTGTTACCTCTTGTCGAGCAATGAAACTGAACTTCTCTTGCTCACCCCCGTCAGCCCATAGCACAATACATGACCAAATCTCCTCTGTCGGGAGGAAGCTGTCTTCCCCCTCATCCAAATCACTGAACTTTGCAAAAAAAAAAAAAAAAAGCAAAACGAGAAGGAGAGACTAGCAGCATTATACTTACAAAGTAATCCTTAATTTCCTCAAACTTGATCCTCAGCTCTTTGAGCTTTGCAGGCAGCAGTTCGGAGAAGTGGAGGCAGCTGGGCTCGGCAGGCGAGCACCTGGCAGGCAGGGCGCTGGCAGCCAGGAGCAGCACGACCAGGGCTGAGCAGGTTTGCATGCTGTGAAGATGAGCTGCTGGCCTCTTGGTCCAGCTCTCGGTTGAATTTCACAGGAGGGTAAAAAGCAGATCTGCAGCCTTCACCTTGATGGAGCCCCTAATTTATACTCTCAAAACATCGCTGAATTTCCTCTCCCCATTTCCTGGCGAGCAATATTGGGGTTTTAAGTCATTCATTAAAACCAAATGTCACTTGGGTTTCCCGTCAACTTGGGTTTCCTGTTCTCTTGACCCCCCTCCTCTCCTCACACCCCATCAAATCTTTTGTGCTTAGACTCTGCATTTTTTTTTTTTTCATTGCTTGCTTCTTGTAAATTTAAATGTGGCTAAAGAGGAAAGCTTCAGATACCATGCAAAGAAGAAAAGGTGCTGCGTGAGGTTACTTGTGCGTTCTCACAGTTACTTTTTATTTTTAGATGAATGTCCTACTGTTAGGGGAAAAGAAGTGTTTCTATTTTTAAACCTCTGTATCAAACCTGCACTTAGGATCCCCAGCACCATGTGTAATTCAGCAGCATTGCTTTTAATGAACCTGCACAAATACACTGTTACCTCCTTTGGCACTCTAATGCTATACTGCAAATATACATAATAATCTTAAGATTTAAAAAAATTAAGATTTGATTTTTACTCTTTTTTTTTTTTTTTTTTCCAGTTAACACATATGTCTGCTGAAGTCAATGTGAATTTTCACTGCCTTCAGCAAGCCCAGAGACTACGCTCCCGAACTTCAGCTGGTGTTGTGCCTGCACACGAGGGGATTCGTTCTGGGATGTGCCGGGTGCTGAGCCCCGCTGGACTGGGATGCTGCTCAGCTCCCTCGGGGCTTGGGCACGGCTGCCTGGCCGCTTCCCCGCAGCAGCTGGGTGGGAGCAGGGTTTGTGCCATGGGAGCCACCCTTTTAACATTGGTGTGTGGGGTCAAAATCTATAAGCAGGTCATGAATATTCATGCTTCCGGCTTTTTAATCCTATTTCGTTTCCTAGAAATGGATACTAACCTCACCCAAGCAACCTAGTGCTGGCTCTATGAACTGGGTGTACTGTGTTAACTGAGAGTTATTGTTCCAGCCCTGATAAAATTATCATTTCAGAGCTGAAGATAACTCCTCTGACGTTTCTCTTGTTTTCCGCTTTCCTCTCTTTTATGCTCCCTTTCTATATATATATTTGTACACACACCCACCTACCCCTGCTTCCTTGTGATAAAGGTTTCACTGATGAATTTGGGAATCTGTTGTCGAAGAAAGAGAAAGCAAAGATTAGTTTGGCCTTTCTGAGATCAGAGGGTTTTCTTTGAAAGCACCCGTGTTACTTTGAAATAGTGTGTTCTTCCCAGCCTGCCTCTAATACATTGCTTTGGACAAATCACTTCAATTCTCATTTCCTTCACTGCACTGAACCTCTTTTAAGTGGAATTTGCAAACCTCTGTGAAGGAATTTGTTGCAAAAGAAATGCAGGAAAAATGCAAAGTATTGTTTGTTACTGTATATTTAGATTTTTTATTTTTAGGAGCAAAAGAGAGGAATGTTTGGTGTACTTATGTATGAGTAAGAGCATAGGGGATGACACATTAGTAATTGAAGGTGTTGAGGCAGAGACAATGTGGGATTTTGTGTTCTGATTTGTTTTCCTTTTGTTGTTGATATTGTTGCCTCTTCCAGAGGAGATGAGGAAGCCTGCTCCAGGTGAATCACTGCAGGCGCACTAGCTTGTCTGAATCACAGCATTTGTCACATTTGGTGACCCATTTTTCTTTCCCTGCTCTAACTCAGCTGTGCGGTTTCTCCCCTCGGCTGCCAGCAGAAGCTATGAGAAAGGAGAAGAGCGAGCAGGAGCAGATAGCTCAAACAAAACAGAGTAGTTTTAAACTCAATCCATTTCCATGGGTAGGATCCCACCTTCCTCTGCTTCCCCCCTTAGCTCTGACCCTGGGATTTTTTTTTGCTTATTTTGGATTAACTTGAATCTGCCACGAGTCAATAAACTTCACTGCCGAGACCTCGATGGCTGCTTAAGTTTCATCAAGGCATCGAAACTGCTGTGGTAAGGGCAGCGGGTGTGATGCTGTCAGGGGGCAGTGCCCCGGAGCGGGTCTGCAGGCAGCCTGGCCCCGAGCTGGCCCCATGCCCGGGACCAAAGCCCAGAGCTAAACCTGCTCCCTTGGGTGAAGGATGCAGCCCCGCTCCCTTTTCTGCAGATCTGCTCCCCTGCAGCGGAGGGGTCACTCTCGGCCTCGGCTGTAGGTTTAGGTGCTGGTATTTTTGTGGGATGCAAAGGAAAGGGTCTTTGGGCACACGGGAACCTCCTCCGCTGTCAGCAGGAGCTGGTGCAACCGCAGCACGGTGCCAGGAGCCCTCCTTCCTTCCTGCCAAGGAGCTGAACGCTCGTTTCCAAACTTCTCTTATTTTGAGCAATCTGTGGGTCTCCATGAAGTCATTGCAGTTTGACACCCTGAGCATGCGGAGCCGTTCTCAGTCTTGTGCAATTCCCTCCTCCCTGTTTTGGAACCTGGTTTGTAATTTTTTTTTTTTTTTTTTTGGTACAAGCGTAAGCCAGATGTGTCCATTCCACAAAGGAAACTCTGGCCTGCGCACGGATGATACTCCGCTGTGTTTACCTGTATTTCCTTTGCCGTGTCAAGATCTTGACGGTGCAGTTTCACTCTGACTCACTCTTGCTTACTGCTGTGGAAATGCATTGACTCTGCAGTACTACGAAGTGGTTGCATGAATGAATAAAGCACCTTTTCCTAAAGAGTGTCCAGGGGACGTGGGTGTATTTCTAAACCTTTAGGCAACACCTTTCATGTTTGCCAAGAAGATCGTTTCAGGAAGGAAAGTATGTTACTCAAAAGCCATTCATACACTTTTACCCCACCTCCCACAAACTTCTAAGAGCTGTGTGTTCACAAGAAATACTCAGCAGGACAGCAGAATTGTGTTCCGGCATAAACCAGAAGCATTTAGGCAAATGCTTTTTCCCCGCAGCGTGGCGTGCGGAAAGGTTTGTCCTGGACATGGTCCTGGGCAACCTGCACCGGCTGAGCCCGCGCCGGCAGGGCTTGGGCTCGGTGGCCTCAGAGGTCCCGTCCTCTGGAGCAGGGCGGCATGTCACGCTTCGTATTAAAGGGGCTGCCTATGTCTGTAGCTTTTCTTATGTTGGCAAGCTTTTATGTGGGCAAGTTTTTACTTTTTTTTTTTTGCCTCCTTGGTCTCTGTCATGGCTTTTGGACAAAGGATCATTGAGTATTTTATACACTATCTATTCTAGATATAGCTTGGAGGATCCCCCAGATTTCCAGGCTGTCATAGTGGTGTGTTTATTTCTTTCCTTTTCAAAAAATTCCCCATTTCTCATCCCTTCAGATTTGGGAGATCTGCTGTCAGTGACGCTCTGGGGGAAGCAGAGACTTGATGGCCTTTCATTCACCTCGTGTGAAGAGCAGTTCTGAAGCAAAGGCATTTGCTCTCTTGCTCTCTCCCCATCGCTGATGACTAACAGTTCCTGAGGGGTGAAGCATAAAGTGGACTGCTTTTTTTTTTTTTTTTCTCCCAAGAAATTTTTTTTGCTGGCTAGGCATGACATCAGATTTTTCACTTCTGGAAATAAGCTTTCTAGCACCCTTGTCAGACTTTGCGATGTGACTCATATCGACCTCAACAGGTAAATCCCAAATTACTCTTTGGAAATTTAACCAATGTCACTGTTTTGTCTTGTAACGTCTACTCAGTCTGGAAATAAATTAGTAATAATGAATACAAGACATTATTGTGACCTCTAACGTGACTTCTAATATGACATAGAGAGAGCCTTGCATAAGAAGTTCTTATCAGGTCCAGAACTTCCATTTGATCTAAATTGGGCTGGAATCACCACCTAAAAGCATCAGGTAATGGAGACTTCCTCCCATCTGTAGATTCAGCATTTTGGTGATTAACTTAACTGAGAAATACTTCAACTTTTTTAATTGCATGCATAAAACTCCCAATATTTGGAAGTCTGCTGCAGCCTGTAAGGCAGATAGAGAATAACATCGCTGTTTAATATCCTGCCCTGGGATTTCAGGGTGCCCTCTGCCAGCCTGGAAGAGTGAGCTGTGCTTTTTTCCCCAGGTTGCATGTACTTGGCCATTTTAAGCCACTCTGCGATGGGTGTGCGGCGTCATGGGTGAGGTCCGTGCTGCTGCAACACTCTCTTGTCACTGCGTCTTCTAACGAGCCCATTGATGCAGCGTCAGGCCATCTGCCAGGTGAATGGTGCTGCCCTTGTCCACGTGAGGCTATTTCCCGCTCGGCAGGGGAGCAGTTACAAATGCAGGGGTTATTACCTTTCTTCTCTTTTCTCCTCAAGTAAGTTGTTGGCGGAGATTTTCTGATGCTCACAGCAATGTCCTGTTTCTGTCCTTAGAGAAACCGATGAGATCTCGGCACTGGCATTTCAGGGAGCGGGGAGCTTGTGCTCCGAGCAGGCAGGGAGGATGAACAAGGTTTTCTCAGAAGAACACAGTACGTTTGCAGGTAAGCCAAGAAGGTAAAAGTGTGCAAAATTGCTCAAATATATGGCCCATCTTAGAATCATAGAATCATTTAGGTTGGAAAAGACCTTTAAGATCATCGAGTCCAACTGTAAACCTAGCACTGCCAAGTCCACCACTAAACCATGTCCCTATGCACCACACCTACACGCCTTTTAAATCCCTCCAGGGATGGGGACTCAACCAGTTCCCTGGGCAGTCTGCTCCAGTGCTTGACAACCCTTTTGGTGAAGAAATTTTTCCTAATATCCAATCTAAACGTCCTCTGACACAACTTGAGGCCATTTCCTCTTGTCCTATCGCTTGTTACTTGGGAGAAGAGACCAACACCTTTCAGGTAGTTGAGGAGAGCAATCAGGTCTCCCCTGAGCCTCCTTTTCCTCAGGCTGAACAGTCCCAGCTCCCTCAGCCGCTCCTTATCAGCCCTGTGCTCCAGACCCTTCCCCACCTTCATTGCCCTTCTCTGGACACGCTCCAGCACCCCAATGT